TCAGGATTCTTGTCAACGCAAGTAGGCATGGATAATCCTATACCGGTTTCTTGGACCCAGAGGTCAGACGGTGGCTCCGACGATTCAGAGCGAGGGGAGCCCGCGGAATGGCAAGCGTCCAGAAGAATCTGTTTAGGGCAAACCATATCCACGACTCAACCGCCGCGGGTCCTGTTGGCGCGGCGTCAACCCTGGGGCAGGGTGATCATTTCCCAATTGCTGCCATCGCCATGGAGGTAGGCAGTTGAGGAAAGCCTTACCGAAGATAGGCTTGAACCAAAAACCGCCCACCAAGGTCGGTAAGCGCATTAACCACCTGCACCACCGAAGCGGCCAGAATGAATGAAGATACATATACGCCTGAAACTTGCTATTTGTGCGCATGTTAACGTACTCCCTGGTGATGAAATGCGATACGACCTTCTGGTGTTTTGGAGCCTTAAGCAAGGTGCGCTTGTTCTAATTTTCTCCAAAAATACAACTTTTAGATGTTTATGCTAGAAGCATAACAATTGTTTGATGCAAACTTGCAATTCTGCATATCTCAGTGCCGTCCATTCGGCTGTCTATTTTTGTGACAGGTGCTGCGCGAGCATCCCACTCCGCTCACAGCCTGCATTCAGTCCGATTGAGGTTCGTGAGAACGACAGGCCGTCACACGGTTCATGCAAGCTACCGATCGTCTTACAGCGAATTTGGTCTACCGATCGTCTTACAGCGAATTTGGTCTACCGATCGTCTTACAGCGAATTTGGTCTACCGATCGTCTTACAGCGAATTTGGTCTACCGATCGTCTTACAGCAAATTTGGTCTACCGATCGTCTTACAGCGAATTTGGTCTACCGATCGTCTTACAGCGAATTTGGTCTACCGATCGTCTTACAGCGAATTTGGTCTACCGATCGTCTTACAGCGAATTTGGTCTACCGATCGTCTTACAGCGAATTTGGTCTACCGATCGTCTTACAGCGAATTTGGTCTACCGATCGTCTTACAGCGAATTTGGTCTACCTGTCTCTTGATCTAGAAAATGGCAACACCTAATTATAAAATGCACTGAACAACGGCCTTCTCGCTGGATTTGACGTTAACGTTAGCTTTCCTCTTAACGTTAGGGATTTGGGCAATCTCCCCCCCCCTTCCCGAACTGAGAAACTACACCCCTGCTCCAACAATTTCCTCCACTCTCCCAGTGGGGGATGTCGTTGGGCATCATAATCATTGTGTTGGACGCCGATGGCCGAAAACAGGTTCCAGTAATCAACGCATGGTCGGTTTAATGCTGTTGCAGACTTTGTTGGGCTTATATGGCTTCGGGAACTTACGCCGTGAGTTGATGTGGCGCAACTATGCAACATGCTGCAAAAAATACAATAGGCGAGAGGCGGGAGAATTGGGACGAAGAAGAATAGGGACACACAAATATCTCCGAGATGGCCAGCTCCGGATCACCACTTGTACTTCTATGTTGTTCTCTTTTGTGTCAGCCAACGCTGAAAGCTACCAGCTGACCTTTTCCGGTACATAGGAACGCTGTACGGGGTGAATGCCAAAAAACTACACTTTTCGAGCGTTGTTTCAAGTTGTGTGTTCTGTTCATGTCAAGCCATCTTTTCTTTTGACTATTTCGCATTGTAAGCTCAAATGATGTTAATCTTCTTTCTTGCATTTAAAATTATATAAACCAATTGACAAACGGCGGAGAACTCGTCTAGTAGCTAGCGTGCGCTGCGGGAGAATCGGGACGCCCGTCCCTATTGTCATGCAGATGTTCCAATTCTCCTGCAGGAACCATTAATGCCACTCGTGCATAATGCTATACATACCCATAAATTGATATCTGTTTTTGTCGAAACCCACTCACCTTTTTTCTTCTTTCAGAACCATGCCACGTGTATACGTTAGAAAAGAAAAGGGATACGCGGACGTATCTCATGATTCAATGCTGCTGGCTGTCAAAGATGTAGAAGGGGGAGCGAGTCTGATAAAATCTGCAGAAGCCCAGTGTGAGAAAAAGCGTCATTAGAAGGTATGTCGCAAAGCACAGTGTCGATCCTGCAACTCGCCTTGAGCCCGACTACAGTCATTCGAAGATATTCACTGCTGACGAGGAGCAAGCCCTCAGTGAATATGTGATGTAGTGCTCGAAGATGTCCCATGGCTTAACGCACAAGCAAACACGTGGAATTGCCTACCAAATGGCGGTTAAAAATGACAAACATTTTCCCGCCTCCTGGGCTGAAAATGAAGAAGCGGGGCGCGAGTGGATGAAGGCCTTCATGAAAAGGAACACCCAAGCTGGCACTGCAAAAACCTGAAGCTACATCCATCGCGCGAGCTGGAGCCTTCAACAGGCACAAAGTCGCTGAATTCTTCGGAAACCTGTCTGAGGTCCTGAAACAGACGGGAGTCTCAGGTGCGAAGATTTTAAATTTATATGAAACTGGATTCACGACTGTACAGAAGCCTGGAAAAGTCATTGCTGGAAAGGGAGCCAAAAAGGTCGGGAAGGTCACCTCCGCGGATAGGGGTGAACTTGTCACGATGTGTGTCACTGTGACTGCCACTGGGGCATACCTTCCCCTGTCTACGTCTTCCCAAGGAAGACTCTTCGGGAGAATCTGATGGAAGGCACCCCGGAAGGATCGCTGCAGATGTGTCACAGCAGCGGGTGGATGACGCCCGAAAACTTTGAGAAGGTGATGCAGCACATTGTGAAGCACATGAGAACAAGCAAGGACAATCCAGTCGTCTTGGTGCTCGACAATCACGTCAGCTATGTCAGCCTGAACGTGTTGACGTTGGCGAAGGACAGTGGAGTCCATATCGTGACTCTACCTCCTCACACGAGTCACAGGCTCCAACCGCTCAATGTCACCACCTTCGGTCCGATGAAGACAAGCTTCAACAAGCAGGTAGACAGCTGGATGCTCCAAAACGCGGGAAAGCCCATCAAGCTTCTGAACATGGGGAAGCTCATGGGGCAGGCGCTGATCCGTTCGGCCACCCCACCCAACATCCTGTCCGGCTTTCGAACGACAGGAATCTGGCCACTGGACACTGAAGTCTTCACCAGGGATGACTTCCTTCCCGCAGACGTGACCGACAGACCAGCTCCCTCAGCGACTGCAGGAGCGCCCGTGGTGGCTGAAGATGGCACACACGAAGCGGACACACAGAAAGTGGACACACACGATGCAAACACGCATGAAGCGGGCGCACACGAAGATGACACACACGAAGCGGATACACACGAAGAGGACCGTGTCGAGTCTGGAGCCTCCATCCCTGTCAAGGAGGCCGACTGATCCGGTTATCCTGCAGCTGGAAAGGCCGCCATTTGCAAGCAACGAACCGGATGCAGTTCCTGTGCCGTCACGGGCTCCAGCTGAGGTCCAAGGAGGTGACCCACTCAGCCCAGCATCTCCCGCAGTCCGGCTTGTCTCACCGCAGAAGTTTCGGGGGTATCTGAAAGTGAGTTCCTGTTATCCCAATTTCTTCCTTAAACCGATAAAGCAGCGATGACAAAGTAACATTAAACAGACCCCAGATGGCCCATACGATCCTTAAGAAAACATTGTTCATTATTGAACTGTCTTACATTTTCGGGATTGTTAATTCCTTTTATTTCCATCTTTCCTATGTTCGTTAATTATGTTGTAATTCCGTCAAAATATAGTTTTGTAATGCATAATTTGGTATCCCAAAGTTAATCAAAGGTAATACAGATTATTTTGTATTCCAATGAGCCACGTTGTCCAATGCCTATGCCTATGTTCCATAACCGTATCCTTACAGTTCCTGATCCTCCATCTTTTAAGGCAGGACCCAAAGTGGAGCCGAGTCGTCGGGGGCGGAAAAAAGGAAAGACCATGATAGCTACGAGTACACCAGAGCTGCAAAGAAAAAAAGAGGAAGAGGAGAAGAAGACCCGAAAATCGCAAGCCAAACACGAGCGTGTGTGAAAGCGACTGTTCGATGCCAAGAGCAACACCACTAACACGAAAGGTAAGAGGAGAAAGCTGGGAGGTGCAAAGGACTTGCCAAAGGCTGGCGATAAAGCGTCGTGTCTGTACTGTGGGACGCAGTATAGGCTCAGCTGTGAATCGTGGATCCAGTGTACAACATGCAAAGAGTGGGCGTGCTTGCCGTGTACCGACGCAACAACCTGGCAGGCACAGTTTGTATGTGACGTCTGCCGAGACTGATAGTCCGCTCATCCGCTGTGATCCGATATGATCCGCCGTGTCGCGGGTATTGCAGTGGCTGTGCTGATTTAACGTGATTAGTACGATGTGTAGGAAGCTTTGTGACCGTTTACGTTGTTAGATGGTGCCTAGGATAGGTACCGATATTGCTAGCCATGTGATCCGCTGTGTTGCCATCAACGCATTGGCTGCGCAGATTCAACGTGAGTAGCACGATGTTCAGGAAGTTTTGTGACAGTCGCTTTGCCTGTTTGGTGCTTAGACTGCCGAGACTGTAAGTCCTACGATCCGCTGTGCTACAATTATCGCATTGGCTGTGCTGATAGGCGATTATGCGATGTGTAGGAAGTTTTCGACGGTTGTCGTTGCCTAGTATGAGTCTAGACTGCCAAGGTTGATAGTCACATGATCCGCTGTGCCGCAAGTAGCGCATTGGCTGTGATTATTTAACGTGGTTATTACGACTGCAGGTTGTGTGGCGGTGTCGTCTGGTTGTTGTGTAGAGTACCGGCATTACTGCTAGCCGGATCTTATGTTAGAAATACCTTCCCGTTGTTGGGGTTCTTCTGCCAAAAACGGAATGGTTATTTGGAGGTGGAAAATTCACGTTCTAAAATGTTGTGTCTCAGTTTTAACACGAGATAGATGAATCTGATATGCTACCACTTTCAGCGGAGGGAAACGTTGCCACGACCATTGACAAGCTCCTGAACGCAAGTAGATGGCAATGCAGTGCACTCATTTTATCATTTGCAATTCAATTATAGAACATGTAGCCAAGTAGAAATGCTGTCCCAATGCTCCTTAGTATGTCCCAATTCATACTCACGTCTGCCCCGATTCTCCTGCGTGCGTCCCGATTCTCCTGTAAATGAAGGTCTTTGTTTCTGCTCCACGCGAGTCGTATCCTACCAGAAAGTGAGACTTACTTATTAGTATGATGTAAATAAATACCCAATTCATTTATTAGTATGATGCAATGTTACCTAGCTTTCATACTTTTGCTGCAATGACTCATCAAAGTTGAAGTTGCAAAAGTGTCCCAATTCTCCCGCCTCTCCCCCACTCAAGTAAACTCAGTATGAACGAAGAGTTCTTACCTTGTGACCGGCTCCATCAGCAACACTCGACTTAACATGGTATCGCAGTTTGCATTTTCTTGGTCCCTTTATCTGCGAAACAGTTATGAAAAATCTTTAAAATTATCATCCTGAGCACCCATCATTAATGATCTACTTGTACTCAGACTCCACAAGGTTGGAGAGGCAAACACACTGTTGAGGTGGGCAAATTGGGTTGGGGGGGGGAGGGGCAGTGGCCAGCCCGAAAATACAAATGAACACCCGTGGGCTCCACCTGTCCACGGCCTGGGGCAGCCGATTCTGGAACCGACAATCGATCTCGTCGCGTCGAGTCGTGTAGAACTGCGACTTGACTGGGGTCTTGAAAACAGCAAGTTGCGTGAAAGATAAAGACATACAATTATGTCATTATGTTCAACAATTTCAGTGTTTAAATGACTGTACCTTTTCGAACCTGTTAACAACAGCGAAGGGAAGAATCCTTTTGAACACATTCTTGGCAACATAATGGTAGTTAAAACTGTACATAATGTTTCGCAGATAAAAGCATCGGTAATCAGCCCTAATATAATCACAAATATAATATGGGATAGCCCATATTATATAATTTATCAAATATGATATGGGCTATCCTGTGTCGTTACTAATTAACACTGATATCACCCCCACTACCGACCTTGAAATAACACTAACGAAACAATGTTTTCAAGCGCAGCGGTAGATGAACAGACACCACAGTAATGACTGCTTCCCATTACCGACCACGAACCAGCTGCAGCTGGGAACCAAGGCTGGGGCCGACACAGCTGTGTGCGTTCAGTTGGCGGTGACAGACGGTAGACTGCAACTAGTCAGCGCTTCAGAAATTTAGTGAGTGGGGTCGGGTATCGCTGTCGCAAATGTGTCACAATTTGGGTGCGCTAGTACGACAAACTCGAGTTAAGATATGAGATCAGCATAAACGTTGGCAAATCAGTAATGACCAGAATATTACAAGTTTTAAGTTTTCCAGTAGACATCAGTGTGTGAGCTGAAGACTGTGGTTGGCCGCGTCGCGGGTGTGGAGGGAAAGCAATGCAAATTTCGGAGATCGGCCCACGCTTCGTCTCGCGGTAACCGGGTTAAAGGTCAGCTGACCGCGCTGCTGCAGACGTTAAATGGCCCCTGGCTGCGTGCCCTACACTCGGGCGCGCAGCCAGCCGCCTGAACCCCGATCACGAACAGAGACGATGTTTGATAGATTGATCTAAGCTCTTCTCGTCTCGGGCCCAATCACATGTTGCGTCAACGCCAACACACCAGATGAGGACGATCGTCCAGACAATCATCTCATCCGTACTCTGTCTGGCATCTTGCCGCAATCATTCTGTAAAACTTCAGTCATATTTGTTCGCAAGTGCAGCTGTGTTTTATCATCTGTTTGCGCATCATTGTGGTCATTGTCTGATCCATCGACGCTAGCCCATCGATTCGATGATGGGGTCCGTGAGCAGGCTGTTCCCCGGCCATCTTGGTCTGACATGCCGCTCTTTTGAGCAGTGCATTGGTTTGGCAGCTAAGCTAGCGCATCGGCTGTCGAGTTCAATATTTGACACAGGATGATGCGGAGACTGAGACAGCAGGCACCCGCGGAAAGGGACGATGCCTGGCTGCATCTGCTGCTCACAACACGGCCGGACTGCGGTGAAGGGACTGAAGCCCGCCGGCGGAGACTGAGACCGCAGGCACTCGCGGAAAGGGACGATACCTGGCTGGATCTGCTGCTTACAGCACGGCCGGACTGCGGTGAAGCGATTGAAGCCCGTCGGCGACTCCGACAGCCTGAATAACGCTCCGCCACCTAGATGCCCCTCTTGGTCACATGATCCCATCCCGTTCGTCAGACTGAGAAACGTGATCGCGTGACGATGCAGGCGTGGTTACCTCGGACGCGGATGGTGAAGCGTGCACTTTGACGCCATTGGCACGTGGCCGCAGGTATAAAATGCAAGGAAGTGCGATAACGTCGCGCTGTGTATCGCACACGGTGCTCATCATACCGCCGATCAAAGAGCTTGCCTGCCCGCAGCCCGGCCCGCCAAGCAGCAACAGATCCCTCAGCTTTATCAAACACGCTGCCCGAAAATCCTGCAGCTCCCGCGCTGAAACGTGACAGTTTCATCGGTCCCTCGGGTAACACCACCGCCGGCGACCGTTACAGAAGAAAATCAATACGGCGCGGCTAGTGCGAGAGCGGCGCATCGCTCCCCTCACCAGCGGGCCGTCGAGCCGCAGGGTTCCGCCTGCCGGACCCCTCCCGGGGGGCGAGGGTGACCGGCACTGAGGACGCCATCTGTCGACTGACTCGGACCGGCGCCGGCGCCCGCGTCCGCCGCCCCCGCCGCCGTGGGCGCCGGGCGGACCGCAGCGCATCCGGGCTACATTCACCCCGCTGGTGGGGAGGGGCGACGGACGTTCTGCTGAGCAACGACTCCCCGCGGCCAGACATAGCTCGCCGCCGGTTTGCCATGTTGTACAGCCAAGTACTAGGGTCGCTAGCAACCACGCGCGCTTATAGGACCAGTCATGAGCTGGAGCTGCTGGGTGCTGCTGGGCCACTGTTCACGCATCCTGAACCACCGCCACGCCCGCTGAGACATATAGTGCACGCTAAAAGCGTGTGATTCCCCCGTACTCTGTCAAACGAACGCCTCATCACATAAATCCCTGAACGACCCGCAGTCGTGTACTCGCATGGATCAGTGACGATCTGAGCATTTCTCGCGTGTCTGCCGGCCAGCCCAGTGAGGGACCGCCTCGGCCAGGCTCTGCGGCTGCAGGGAGCACAGCCAGACTGCCCATTACCACGGAAGCGCCGACCAGTCTGACCACGGAGCCCAGTCACTCCAGTCTGACCACGGAGCCCAGTCACTCCAGTCTGACCACGGAGCCCAGTCACTCCAGTCTGACCACGGAGCCCAGCCACTCCAGTCTGACCACGGAGCCCAGTCACTCCAGTCTGACCATGGAGTTCAGCCACTCCAGTCTGACCATGGAGTTCAGCCACTCCAGTCTGACCACGGAGCCCAGCCACTCCAGTCTGACGACGGAGCCCTGCCACCTCAGCAAACGAGCCACTACAACATGTCGGCGAGTGTATTGAGATTCTCCGGGCGCGGTGGGGTTACGAATACAAAACGTCGCTCGAGGCGCGGCCGTCTCGGTCGCGTGTCTGGGTCACGCGCCGCCGGTCCGGCCGGCCGCGCTGCGCGCGACAAATTCCGATTACAGCTCCGAATAACATCGCGACACGAACCAGAAACAGACGTCAGGGGGGGGGGGGGGGGGGCGGCGGCGCCCAGTCGGCGCTGACTAGCTCCGCTGACTGGGGAAGCGCGAGCGCGTACTTGGCGAGTACAGTCGGCCCGGGGCGGCGCCTCTACGGGGTCCGCTTGTAGACACGCGTGGCGGTGACGTCGTCCACGGTGCACGTCTGAAACGGGGGAGGCGTGACGTCAGAGAGGGAGCGAGCGATAGGGGGACAGCGGTTATTGGTCACAGTCAAGGAGACGTCGCTCTCGCCGCCAGCTACGTAGCATGGGACGACAGCAATGCCACGCTGTCGTCGGACATCGCGGGACAAGCATCCATGAGCGGTCGGGCGCTGATGGCTGTCGAGCACACATACACAGAAACGGGGTCGGATTACCACCGTGCAAGGATCGCTAGTTCAGAGCTGAGACCATGCCAAAGCATGGAGACCACAAAGGATCGCCAATTCAGAGCTGAGACCATGCCGAAGCATGGAGACCACAATACGCCCGCACGTGCCGAGCTTTTCCGTTAGCCACTGCGAGCCGCCATCAACACTGCCATGAACGTCATTGCATGACATTCATTGTGCTTTTTTCCCCGCACATGAAGCTCAGACTATAAAACACTTGCAAGATAACGGTGCAACACATCTACGTGTGCCGAGCTTCCCCGTTGGCCACAACGCAATATGAACACTGCTGTACGCTGACATATCACTGCATAATATGCCTAGCGCTATTTGTGCCCAGCACGGAACACTCAGATCTTAGCAAAATTGCAACATATCGGCCATCGGTTAACCACTTAACAGCCCGCGAGTCCCGATAATGCGATAAAGTACATATTGGCTGCATGCAGAATACATTAACGCCGTCGTCCGTTGCCAGGGCGACGGGTTGCTAAGCCGCTTTTAGCATCCCAGAATGCAAACATTCGCGAGAAGACGCGGAATTAGATCGTGTGTCGACGGCAGCCTACGTCAGGCTGATCCATTCGAGTTCGACGGTCCAGCCAGCCAGGAAGCCGCCCACAGGCGTGTTCGGACTCAGGGGCGTCTCCCCGGTCACCGCCCTTTCCCGAGCGCCGCCGGCCTGGGCCACGCGCCGCCGAGACGCGCCGCGCCGGCCGGGCCCGGACGCCGCCCGCTCCAGCCCCATGACGACCGATCACGATCGGTAGCGTCCGGCGCCGGACGTGACGTCACGGCCGCGTGAGGGTGGCGTGAGAGCGCGGTCGGCGGCAGCAGCACCGCCTGACGGAGGCGGCCCACGACCGTCACGGCCGGCGCCCGGCGCATCGGACGCCGCTGTCACCAATCAGAGGGGGCAGCCAGCGGCACCGCCAGCCGGCGCCGCCCCGCCCGGCAGGGTTGGGGGGGGGGGGAGGGGCGCCACGTGGCCGCAGCGCCAGCCGGCTCCGCCGCCCACCCGCGGTGTTAGAACTCGCAGACGGCGCCGGAGGGCCCGGGCTGGCTGGGGCGGATTGGGCCAGCGCAAGGAAACGCAACACAGCATCGTTGCAGGACGTTCGCCATCGCGAGCCAGACGCTATGCTACGTTTACCCAACTTCCGGCGTCAACCGATTGTACTGTGACTGCAGTTGCCCACACGAGGCCCGCGGTGTGGCGGTCTTCCATCGGCCGTCACGCCTCACCGCCTCAGTTCACAGACGTCACTGGTCACACCATCTTACTCAAAACTCCCAACACTTACAAGGAACGGATCAGGTAAAACGCGGAAAATGGGCGAGGTCGTTGCTCTAACAATCCCAGCAGTTCCCGGCTCCGTCACAGCCGCTGGACCAATTGGACGCGTTCGCACATGACAGCCACCTCAAAACGAATTAGCATGACGGAAAGCCAGAATCCAGCTACAGTAGTATGTTAAAGAAGCATCAGGCATGGAGTCTGATTCGCGTCGCATCAAGCCTTCAGGTGACGTGTGTCGGCACGTGTGGGGCAGGGCGAAACGGCGTCCGATTCGCCGAACGGCAGCCTGCACAGCTGTGGAGGCGCGGCTTAGTTTTATCGCACTATATCGGTGGCGTCGCACATGCCGGTTTGTTTGCATATGTTATACTCTGATCGGGCTGAACACCAGCTTGGGAAATAAAGCAATCCCCACTCACTTTCGTCTAAAAATATAGAGCCATGAACATTTAGAAAGCGTAGTACAATTCGCAGCTAAAAAGAACATTTTGGCACCGAAGCGCTGTGAGGTGCAAGTCTTGCTTGCAACAAAACATGTACGTTATAAGTGAATGTCAAATGCCATAGCTGAAAAACGCTTTCAAAGGGAGTATTTCACATTTGCATCGGGTTTTGAACTGCAAGAGCCATCTTGAAAACAATTCGGTGCAGTTCACAACCCTGCCCTCCGTAAGATGTGAACCCCTCTAGCTTCTAAGCTACGCGTCCGCGATGTGCGAACTATTTCAGGAGTATTTCAAGGTCAGCGAGGCATCCATAACGCCATAATAACGCCGTTCGAATCCTTCCATTCCATTACACATGCGACCATCAAGGTCAGGAAAAATACAGTTGTGGAGTCGTTCACAACTGGCGTTCGTGAGCACAATTTCCGGACATAACGACCATCAATTAGCTCTCAGTCATGTTAATGCGAGGTATTATGACGTAGCCAAACAATGACGCACTGATGAACATATTTACTAAACAGACAAATTGTGTGGTCCAGAAGTGTTTTCCACATAAAAGTATACCAATATTTATAAGTGAGCCTATTTCATCAAATCTAATGCTTGCTTCAATGTCTTTAATTGTGAAACATTTCTTATAACGACCTTTGCATCCCACTTTTCCCTTACCCATGCACCAGCCTTGCAAACAATCGGTTTTCAGACAAACCCTGGTAAAATAAACCACGGCAAACCACGTTAGCGGTCGACTGCCGGACGATCCGCAAGAGCGATGCTGCGATCGCAGGGGAAGGTTGAAGTAGACCTCCGTAAGAACCCAGTTCACCGCCAGAGCACACAGACGAATAAGGTCACTAGCAGCCAGAAGGTGCCTTTTGTAGCGAGACAAGCGAGGTGACAGCCTTGAGTGCTATCGTCGTGTAGATGGTGTAGATGATACCAAAACCTAGCCCACTGACGACAGCCATCCTTCGGAACCCAAAGGTGCCAGCCTTGAGTGCTATCGTCGTGTAGATGGTGTAGATGATACCAAAACCTAGCCCAGTGACGACAGCCATCTTCGGAACCCAAAGGTGCCAGCCTTGAGTGCTATCGTCGTGTAGATGGTGTAGATGATACCAAAACCTAGCCCAGTGACGACAGCCATCTTCGGAACCCAAAGGTGCCAGCCTTGAGTGCTATCGTCGTGTAGATGGTGTAGATGATACCAAAACCTAGCCCACTGACGACAGCCGTCTGTCGGAACCCAAAGGTGCCAGCCTTGAGTGCTATCGTCGTGTAGATGGTGTAGATGATACCAAAACCTAGCCCACTGACGACAGCCGTCTGTCGGAACCCAAAGGTGCCAGCCTTGAGTGCTATCGTCGTGTAGATGATACCAAAACCTAGCCCACTGACGACAGCCGTCTGTCGGAACCCAAAGGTGCCAGCCTTGAGTGCTATCGTCGTGTAGATGATACCAAAACCTAGCCCACTGACGACAGCCGTCCTTCGGAACCCAAAGGTGCCAGCCTTGAGTGCTATCGTCGTGTAGATGATACCAAAACCTAGCCCACTGACGACAGCCGTCTGTCGGAACCCAAAGGTGCCAGCCTTGAGTGCTATCGTCGTGTAGATGATACCAAAACCTAGCCCACTGACGACAGCCGTCTGTCGGAACCCAAAGGTGCCAGCCTTGAGTGCTATCGTCGTGTAGATGATACCAAAACCTAGCCCACTGACGACAGCCGTCTTTCGGAACCCAAGTAAATAGGTCACCAATGTACTCGCATGCTTATCATTATGAAACCTTTGGAAGGATATTGCCTAAGATAACATGGGTTCGTGCATGCTAAATCGTAATGGTCTAATGTGTCTCAGCTTATCCGGCGATGACCTTTCCCCGCCGGTTAATGACGTCACAAGGTGCTGGTCTTCGGTCGTTGAGGCTCCGGGTCGGCGATACCGTTACGCCGTTTCCAGCCGTGCTCTTCAGTTTTTCGCAGGTTCCACCTTTCACGTTCCCGTGTTACCCGAATGGGACAGTCTAAATTTGTGTGACATAGTACTGTTACAAGCAAACGGAGTCTGATCAAACAGCTTGGATGACCCTGAGATGACAACAACAAATTATGAGCTGTTCTGGGCAGTGGCAGATCCAAGGGATAGCAACGACACTGTGCCCCCAGCCCCCCCCCCCCCCCCCCCCCCAAGGCGAAAACGAAATACTTCCTTAGTTTACCGACACTGGTATGGAAAAGTCTGGTTCACTGCCCTGAATAGATCCTGGAACCGCCGCTGGTGCTACTCGTCAATGAAAACTGCTTGATGGCACGACCAGCGGTTGCAACAGCCCAGAATACGAAGAGAAGCATGTCAGCGGCGTCGACAGCCGACCGGGCCGCGCCGCTGAAGCTACAATATCAGCGATCGACTGACGTGAACACGCGCCCGGCCCGCCGCCTCGCTCGCAACCAAGCACGTGGAGAAGTTGGCATGCAGAGAAGTTGGTGTGCTATGTCACGTGAAAAACAATGCATGCACCCACATTCACGCTCCCGGTACGTGCCATTTGGACTTCAGGCATAATGGCTCGCCACTGAAACGACTCGAGTTCTTTACCGCGAGCACGGAATGGAGTCAATCGTTGTCGGCCGTTCTGACAGAGTACAACATCACAATTCGATGGTCTGGCACAAGTTCCCATGAAATGTGAAACGCCATTGCCACTTTGCCGCGCGCGGGGTTCGGCCAGAGTCTTCGGCGAAAGTTCGGTTGCCAAACAGAATAATCGACTTACAAAAGTGGAGTCTGGAGTCACGCTGGGTGAGCGCGGCCTCGGAAAGTCATAACCCAAAACTAGGGGAACAGCGCAACACTGTTCTGAAATGTGCACGAGGCCCAAGCTGCGGCCGGTAGCACGCAGGCACGGACGGAAATAAACATGATCAGGCCCAAGCTGCGGCCGGTAGCACGCAGGCACGGACGGAAATAAACATAACCAGGGCCAAGCTGCGGCCGGTAGCACGCAGGCACGGACGGAAATAAACATGATCAGGCCCAGGCTGCGGCCGGTAGCACGCAGGCACGGACGGAAATAAACATGATCAGGCCCAAGCTGCGGCCGGTAGCACGCAGGCACGGACGGAAATAAACATAATCAGGGCCAAGCTGCGGCCGGTAGCACGCAGGCACGGACGGAAATAAACATAATCAGGCCCAAGCTGCGGCCGGTAGCACGCAGGCACGGACGGAAATAAACATAATCAGGCCCAAGCTGTGGCCGGTAGCACGCAGGCACGGACGGAAATAAACATAATCAGGCCCAAGCTGTGGCCGGTAGCACGCAGGCACGGACGGAAATAAACATGATCAGGCCCAAGCTGCGGCCGGTAGCACGCAGGCACGGACGGAAATAAACATAATCAGGGCCAAGCTGCGGCCGGTAGCACACGGGCACGGACGGAAATAAACATGATCAGGCCCAAGCTGCGGCCGGTAGCACGCAGGCACGGACGGAAATAAACATGATCAGGCCCAAGCTGCGGCCGGTAGCACGCGGGCACGGACGGAAATAAACATAATCAGGCATAAGGAATAAGAAAGCTTAAAAACTACACCTTTAAAACTGCGCAGAACTGCGCTTGAAGCAGACAACAGACCAACAGAACTGCACTTGCGCCCACATTCGGGACGCTTCACGCTCATATCATATCGAGCCAACCCAGGACAGCCATCCCAGTTGTAGGAGGGATATCCTGAATCCGTGGGGCTTAGCCTGCTTTCATCACAGGCCTCTTCACCCAAACCACTTGATTTCGCCACGTAAAAGCGATTCAAGGATTGGGACTTACGAAAAAAGCGGACAGACAGAAGGCTGCAGTATCTTCCGACTCCTGACATTTTTTTTTCTCCCTCAGAGGCTTCTTTCTTTGCGCTGTTATAATCTTGTGAAGCTTGGGTTTTTCCATGGAGCCACTCGGACGGATAGTGGCACTTTCAAACGTGGCAGCATGTTAAGTGACGCACCCAGGCCGCAGCCGGTAGAGAGCATAACGTGCCATTCACCGGCGATAAAAGCGCAACAAGATCATCCTAGTGCGGCATAAAGTATCTTCCCTTGACATTTCAGCGGTTGAAAAGCCTTCCGTCCAGCTTTGTACATTCCTTCAGGGCGAACAGTAGCTGACAGTTGCATAGTCCACAACAAATATGACCACGAAATCAATGCACTTCACCCTCAATCCAGATCAAGTGATTCATCTTTAAGATCACGTGGCTAATCGAGACTACTCCAACCCCATTCGATGAGTGCTCTGCTTAAATGCTCCAGCCGGCCCCGACTCGAGGCACTACTCAACGCCACCCTAGCCCTTTGATCAAACCCGCCGCGTCCCACGCAATTCTGATCACGTTACGCCAGACAGTAGTGCTGCTGCGTCACAAGTGTCCGTCAACACCTGCCCCGATCGGAACAGAGGCCGCTCCGCCAGCTGTGTACTGCTAAGCAACAATGTGGGTCCGCGCCCGTAGCGGCCATTCACCCCCACCTTACGATGCTTTTTCACCTTCGGCCTACGAGGGGGGGGGGGGAGGGAGCCCCGGGGGGCCGTACCATTTTAAGTACTACTCAGGCTAAAATCACAGGAAAAATGACAGTGGAAGGCTCTCGTCAACTGTCTTGGACAGGATTGGCTGAGCAATGGTGCATGTGACCTTCGATAGACCAAATCAGGTCACAGGGGCCAAATTAGCGTTTTACGTGCCCTTCCTGTTATCTCAAGCACTTGTCATCAGGAATTGCGAAAAGCACCATTGAAAAGCTCCAACTAGCTCATCAGACGGGCGCCGGTGGAATCAACAGGTGAGACCAGTGATCTGTTATGCCAGGTCAAAGGTCATCCGTGTCAAGGTTATCAAAGCGTGCATAGGCTCGCCCGGATGGGTCAAGAACTGAACAAGCCGCGTCGGTGGGGAAAACAGCGTTCCAAAAACCTTACAAAACCGCATTAAAAATTCAAACGCACAATGCAAAAGAGATCAAAGATCATTAAACCGACAAGTTTAAAGCTTCAAAACTGCATAACATGGTGCTAACTCAGCCAACACAAACTTCATGCTAAAAAACATCCAGAAGTTACTTCGGAAAAACCTTAGCAGGGCCCCTAACGTATAAAGATATTTCAAATGCATTTTGTGTGCCCCCCCCCCCCCCCTTGTAGTGCAGGGATTCACAGGAACGAGCCCACTGAGGCTCACTGGTGGGAAGAACGCTGAACAAGGAACCCCCGGTAGCAGCAATATCACTTACTTTAATCAGCTGAGGAGGCTTAAGCGACGAAGTTGATCCAACCTGTCCCCAAAACCTGATTTCTTACCGGATTTCAGCCACATTAATTTACATCCCAGATGTTAAGACAAAGAAGAAGACGTAACAACATATACCTCGTCGATTCCGAAATGGGGCGCATCGCCGCGGGGGGCATATATATATATATATATATATATATATATATATATATATATATATATATATATATATACCAGGGTACTTAGTGTACCAATAGTTGAGCCATATTATGTATTTCCTCCACCCTGTATTTTCTTTTTGCTCATATGCATTGAGGGGATCAAAGGCTAAGGGCTTAAGTCAGATTTGGAGGGGCTCACCCCCCCCCCCCCTCCCTCCCCCGCTTCTCCCAAAGAACAAAGCACCACCCGACGTCTCTGCTCCAAAGACATACCTTTGTCGGAAGAAGGCCAACACTGTCGATCTTTAATGAGCCAAGTGCGAGTCGCACTTCCAGGTCCGGGAAGTTCCCAACATATTCCCTTCCATGCTAATGATGACAATTGTAAGCACCAAACGTACATCAGTCAGCTGAAGGGGCAGCAACGAAAGGTTGCATTACCACCACCGATACCAAAAACCATAATAAGGCGAACACTTACATCTACCCGTGGGTTGTGCCCATCACAGTTTGTCCACATACAAAGTTATCACTTTTCCGTTATTAGTGGTCTTATAGCTTCCCCAGAAACGTGATGGGGTTTAAAGCATTATACAACTAGTCCAGACTGTTGCATCGCGCGCACGGCCACGCCTCTGAACTGACAGTCGGGCAGCTGTCCACGGCGCGGGCGGCGGTGACTGTTGACAGTGTGGAGCACTGTTGAATCAGCGTGTGACGGGTTGCGATTCAGAGCAGCCACAGCCGGCCGGCCGAGCGCCCGTCCACGTCCCCGGCCCCGACGCCGACGTCGACCTCCTCCCCGTCCCTGTCCCCGACCTCCTCCCCATCCATCCCCGTCCCCGACCTCCTCCCCGTGCCTGGCCTCCTCCCCTTCCACGTCCCGGTCTCATCCCCATCGCCATCCCTGTCCCCCTCCCCGTCCCCGTCCCCGTTTCCGTTTCCGTTTCCGTTTCCGTCCCCGTCCCCGACCTCCTCCCCGTCCCCGTTCCCGACCTCCTCCCCGTTCCCGTCCCCGTCCACCGACCTCCTTCCCGTCCACGTCCCGGTCTCATCCCCATCGCCATCCCCGTCCCCGTCCCCGTCCCCGTCCCGACCTCCTCCCTGTCCCCGTTTCTGCGCCTCACCAGCGTCATGGTGTCGCCATCGAAGGTGCGCTTGAGGACTGAGTCCTTCTCCTCTTTTTCCTTGTTGCCCTTTTGCTCGTGCACCAGGGTGTTGCCGTCCATTGTCATAGTGGCCTGCCGGCGGGGGGGGGGGGGGGGAGGTCAAGACGCCGGAGCTGCAGCAGGACAGCCAGCTGGAGGCACCGGCCGCGGCCACTCAGGCCCACCGTGTCCCGGTGGAGCGGACCGACGCTGGCTCGGCGTCACAGGCGGCAGGGGGCGAGGCCAGCGGGCTGCGACAGCGGGCGGCCGCAGATGCTACCGGGCCGGCGTCGGTAGCCTGGCGCCCGGTCCGGCCGCCGACACAGCGGCGCTCCACCGCCGATCGTCTACAGGCGACGCACGCGGCCGCGGCGCGACGATGGTCACGGGTTCCCGCCGGTCCCGAGACGGCGGCGGGGCGGGGCTGCCGCCACCCTCCGGGTGAGCCGGGGACGGGTCATGTGTCACCGCCTCAGGCAGACCCCGGCCGGCGACGGCGCTGGATGGACGGCGGCTAACGACCTGCACGCTCACTGACACACACAGTAATTAGCTTGCGACACTCTCAGGGCGAGCAGAGGACGAGCAGAGCGTCCAGCCAGCGTTGGCGGCGCCTGATTGCCTCTCTGGGGGCGCGTCGCTCTACCGCCCCCTGCTCAGGCCGCGACACAGCGCAGATGGTCTGTCCGAGCCCGCCCGCAGCCCGACTCCGCTGCGGGCTCCGGCAACGGAGGCTGTCCTACTCAACACGCCCCCGCGCGCGGATCATGGCAGGCTTCCGTGACACCGGGCAGACGTTACCGCCGGCACCGGTCACCAGTCAGTCACCAGTGATGCCGGCACCGGTCACCAGTCAGTCACCAGTGATGCCGGCACCGGTCAGTCCTCACCCGGCGTCACTGAGGATGCCAGCCGAGTGAACGGCCGGGCGCGGCCTCCCTCTCGCCGGCCCCGCATGCCGGGCGTGACTGGCGGTGAACGGGCCGAACCGTCGGCTGACGGCAGCGAGCTGGATCACTGACGACGCGACCGGGCCTGGTGATTCCGGTGCACTGCCAGCGACGTCGGCAGGCGCCGCCACTGACCTGCACCTTCCTGCCGTCAGCCGTCTCCTCCTCGAACGGCACATCCAGCTTGAACTTGATGACGGTGGTCTTGAACGTAGTGACGGTCTTGAGCTCGTACTCGCCGTCCGCTTCCGTGATCTCCACCGTCGGCACAAGCGTGTTGCCCATCTTGCGCATCATGAAGCCCACGCCTGCCGGCACAGACCCAATGTGAGGCGCTGCCCTAAGACTGGAGATGTCGAAAGCGCCAGCACTTCCAAACCGACATCAGTGGCCATGAGAGACATATGCTAGACAATCAGGGCTGTTCAACTGGTGAGGTGTCGTTTGACGTGCACGGGCTGCCGCGCTGGACACCTTGTGGTGAGGTGTCGTTTGACGTGCACGAGCTGCCGCGCTGGACACCGAGTGGTAAGGTGTCGTTTGACGTGCACGGGCTGCCGCGCTGGACACCGTGCGGCCCGCGCATGTGGATGGAATCGCCGCACGCCGTGGCAACTCGACATGCCTTTAGTGCCGTGCGCCAAATCCGAACGGCGCCCGGCGAGCCGTGCCGCCTCCGTATCCATACACGCCGCACGTGTGACGGGTGTTCCCCCGCCCAGTGACCGCACAGCGGAGCGCAACGCACAGCCGCGGAAACCGAACACAGGAAACGGTTCGGTGACTACTAGTGACGTCTGACTTGGCGTGATATAACATACCCGCCAATGGCCTCTACTTTCTCTGGCCGTTGTCAGCATTTCCGAGATATGGCATTAGTGGCGCTAGGGTCCGCACCAGCCACTCAATCAGCTCATAGTTCGAGACAGACATGCACACCACTCCGCCTGCTACTGGAGCCGGAGTGAATCGCAAGCCGTAGCTGAACCACCCGCTAGCGGTAACGACAGGCTCCTGGCGTACCTGCTGGGGGGGGGGGGAAGGTAGAAGGGGTAGGAGAAGGTACGTAATGCGCACTAAGCGGCTGTCTACACTACGGGCATGTGTTACTTCAAGAACACTGATACAATGCGTTGTGTGACGCCAAATCATGACTGCATTTCGATGCCACCATCCCCTCAAAGGTTACTGATTATATCAACAAAATGTCTTCATTATCGATGGGGACATAAACGCTGGCTACTAATGCGGCGGAAGCGAATGAGGAGTCAATGCGTTAGCGCTCGCTCCACAAAACCCCATTTCCGTGATCCTCAGGGGCGAATAACGCGAATGTCAACGAGTTGTTCGGTGTCGCGTCCCTTCCTACTCTGATCCACTACCCCCGCTGGTGCCTGGCGGGCGGACCTCGTCCCCTACGTGACCGGCGCGGTGTCGCGCCCGCCCCCAACCAACAGTCATCCGAAACTGCGTACGTGAACCAACAAATGTAGGGATACCTGTCCATTGTTTCCAAGAATTTCCTCTCACATTGGCCGCCGACGACAACCAATGGTTAGCACTGCTTGGTTTTTGAATGTCAGTGTTGAAGAGGACAAGGTAAGGCTGGTGAAGTTGAGCGTCACTGCGATGTATTGTGCGCCCCCAGTTAACGCGTCAAGAAACACATCTGCAGCAGTTTCATCTTCTGATTCTCGTGTAAGTTGCTCACATCCCACATCAGCTGACACTGACCCACTTTGTCGTAATTCACAAAATATTCAAAAGTAATGTCAGCAGCTATCTTAGTCACGGCAGATCTCCCATAAGACCTGAGAGTGAGTTCTCTAAGACCAGGGCACAGGATCGTACTCAGGTCCAGGGCTCGATCCCCCTTCCATTTTGCACCTGAGCCATCAGCCTAAGAACATCAAGCTTGTGGAGAACTCCCCCCCCCAAAAAAAAACAAAACACAATCAAAACACTAATGTGAAAGAAGGCCATATTACCTATAACGACGATTTCCCAATGTCTGCATCCCTTCGCCTAAATACAACCCTCAAACGAAGACGCTTCAGCTGAAGGTAAAAATTGAAATATGTAACGCTTTAGCCGTCTCCAAATGTCCGACATGGCCGGCCGACCTGTCTGTATTCGCGAGCACACGGGGATGGCCGACCTGTTGAACTCCCCATCCGATGTTGCGAAGCCACACCGACGTATCGGACACCTCAGTGGTCATTTCCCAACATAACTCTGGCAAACTACATAGGCCGTGCAAACGCTACGATCCTCTTACGTTGAATACGCCCTGGGCCCGGCAGTCCATATCACGTGCTGAGGCTACACACGGGGCCGGCGATTGGTTAAGACACGCTGATGTTAGGTGTGACTGGGTATTCCCGAGGTACTACGATATACCACAGCAGCGCCACATGGCAGCACTGACAGGACCCTGCACCAAGTCGCTAAACGTTGACCGTTGAAAAGCGTCCGAAGCAGTACATGATCGGGATCTTTAGAACCTCAGTACAACGCACTAGTCAATCGCTGTAGACTGGTGGCCGGCCCTACCGCACTGGACCCCAGCCCACACAGCTGGCCCCCACTGCGAGTCAATCGCTGTAGACTGGTGGCCGGCCCTACCGCGCTGGACCCCAGCTCATACAGTTGGCCTCCACTGCCAGTCAACGTACGCTGTGCACACCAGATTCAACTGGCACACCAGATTGCACACCAGTGCACAGCAGGTTCTCCATTCAACAATGTGTCTTGTTTGTATGACTCCCGCTGTGTGCAAGATACACGCCAAGTAGGGCTTTCTGTTCGCACCCTGCAAACACCACTTATATAGCATCATTTTAATTCAACGGATAATCTCATCTCCGGTATGTTTGCTAGACTGATAATGAGGAACCTGCTTCTTGTCACACCAGAAAACTTCGGTAACACAGCCCGATGGTGACAAAAATAAACTGTGTCGATTTCGAGCCTGATCACAGTTCAACCCACAATCACACTGACCCACAACAACAGGAACCAAATCGACCAGCTGATCAAATTTGCAAAGCTCCTGATAACTCAATATAGATGCATAATGCATATGCTGTACATACTGTGCTTTAAGCGCACCAGTTTGGAGCGAACTACTAAGGTGTTCCGCACCAGTTATGATCCGTCTGGACACCCACAATTCGTGTGTACGGATGTGTGAGCACACATGTCTGGCTACTGGCTACATTTTTCGCGTAATTTTACCAAATACTTCACACTGGGCATCACCACAGTAGTGCCACGTTCTCATAATACTTAATATCGGTTCAATAGCCAGCAGATTCTGGGTGCACCAGACTTGCTTCGAGTAACACAAAATTAGTGCAGCTGATTAGATTCTGGTTTGCCGTGTTCTCCCCGACAAGGATTGCGGGGTGGTTTGCAGGTTGCATACCAATATGGTAGTTGAGGCCATGAGAAAATGAAGGTTCACAAGCGCCGCGAATAATCGTTGAGCTGTTGCCTTCCGGCAATCTTGTAGAATGACACACTAATTGTCCTGGATGACAAAGCCAATTTTGCTGGAGAGATCCCGGATCCCGTGGCGTAGTGCCTGCACATGTGTACCGCACGGTGGCGGATTCCTCCTCTCCCGACAGCGGACGAAGCATCAGTTGCCCCCACAAGATGCCGAGAGCGGATATCCACAGACGCTTCAGTCCGAGGGGCGGTAGAAGGCACGATGCACCAGGGAGGCAGCCACCACCTCGTTTGGACCAAAGTAAACTACACCACGAAACCACAACCCGGTGATAGCACGCTACCGCTCCATGGTTGCCTGAAACCTTGACTTCGACAGCTTGGCATGGAACGAAACAGAACCCATCTTGACCCCTTCACGACAACAGGTCACAAAGCCCAAAAACACGTTAAATATGAAGAGAGATTTAGTGTAACATACTGATATACGGTAGACGAGCATGTGGCTAAAACTCTCCACCACGGAAAGAACGCCAAATTTTCGTGCGATTGTTCCGTTCGGCATTGAAAACACCGTTACCAAAGCGCTGATCAAAAGTGGTCCAGCAAGTATTCAAAAAGCGTTTTAGCTTACTCCCGTAAGCTTAGGCTCCACGCTTGTAAAACACGTGCCATGACGCACCATTAACCATTTCAAACGTGTAAGTGTCGGCATCTAATGTTCTTTTCATGTCCAGGTGAGAATGCTTTCGGGGCCCAATATCACAGCTTTTCACCATCCCTCCGGAGAAAATGCACCTCGCGATCACTTTTGTACGCCTACCAGCGTTCACCGCGCCGTGTCATGTGAAAATGACACGCCATGTGACACGCCATGTCAAAATGAATCCCTCCATTTTACCTAGTGATGTAGCTAAAGCTTTTGGGGCTAAAGAGGCGGCAGAGACACGCTGGGACCGAAACCCTCGGTACTTTTGACGGTGAGAAGCGCTCGTGGAGCTTCTCAAAATAAAAACAGTCCCCTGAGGTATCAGAGTAAGACCACTAGCCTAAACCCTCCACCAAATAAAAATACAGGGCCCCTAATAGTCTTACAGCCGCGCAGAAGTCTTACAGAAACAGTAGTCTTGCTTTCTTAAAGCGGTTGGGGGAGAGGTTGAGCCAATAAAGTTGACCTTGTCTACCTCAGTACCCTGCCGTTTCCCTGGATTTCAGCCACTATGATTTGAATACTTCATTTCAAAATTTTAATATCATTTGGCCGGTTCCGAGATTGTTCTGTTTTGAAAACTGAACTCCCATCTGAGGCCAATGTGATAGTGGCAATCTGTAGTGATTTGATTGATAGTTAAGCGTTTATGTACCGCGTGTACCAGCAGTTCAAGCACATGGCGCATCCAGAATTTCATTGCCCCAATTTTCTCTTTCTTGCTCATGCATTGGGGGATAGGCTTAGAAGAGCATCGAGGAGGTCAAATCAGCATAGGGTGGCTCGGTCTGGGGGGGCTTATAGGGGCGCTCAGCCCCCCCCCCCCTCCCTCTGAAAGTGTACAAAGTGACACCTCTGTTCCCAAGCAACAAAGAGGGACCTCTTGGCCTTAAAGGCTTTCTATTACTCACTTGGCGCACTGCTGGGCAAAATCCTGAATGGGTCACTGTCTTAACCAAGCATGGATCTGTTTTGATTGGATTTTGAGAAAATGTCTTGCGCTGCCTAAGTAGTAATGCGTTACTAAACTCATCGGCGAAGTTTTTTATATGGTCGGGAACACACCAGGAATGGACGTTGATAATGTTTAAACGACGGCCATATGCGCCACCACAAAATTCCTAAAGGCGGGTCGAGGTGGAGGGGGAGGGGGATCGGGTTTACGCCCTCCGAAAATAGAGTATACTGTAAGTGTGCACTTCTGCCATTGGTTACGATTGACTGAAGTGATATTATAACATCCTGGATACCGAGTGCTTGAACTGAAACCGACATGACGCGAGAATGAAAAGTGCAGTTTGGGGATCCTCGTGGGAATCGGGGACAACTTCGGGATGCCTGCGATAAATGACGGGCCTGGATCCCACTTGAGAGTGCACTTAGAGGTGCAAGCCATAGCGTTTCTTGCGCATTTCGACAAATATAACTGTTCTATGCCGCAGCTTGTAACATGGCAGCTGATGAGACAGGCGTGTAGCGATACGACGCTGAGTGCAGACTGCGGAAAGGGGCGCCATTTGTCCGCCCACTCAAAGCTAACATTAAAACCATGCTGTACGTACCCAGAGTTTTCATATACTCGTCAAAGTTCTCGCTTGATTCCATCTTCCACTTTCCTACCATCTTATCAGTCATGTTTGCACTTTTTTAGATCACGACGCTGGCTATCAGTACTTGTCACGTGCGCCGCCCTCCAGCTCCCGATGCGACGCAAGCAGACGACGGAAGCTGACGACGGATGCCGGCTTTGGTCGAAAGCGCGTCACTTTTGTCTTTCTGGGTTTTAGCTACCAAATTAGACAAGGGTTGGGCGTTTCTGGTCTGTATCTCAAGCTACTGGATTGCGGAGATACGAGTCCTGCGTGGGATGGGGTCCAACCTTCATTGGTGGTTGGTAGTGGTTCGTCGAGAGCAACAGACAAGAAGGATGACATTTATGGTAAGCCCATCATGAAACTTGACAAATCCGCCCTCTACAGCGTGGTGGCGACAGCGCAATGAGCACTCTCTATGCCCTCTAAGTGAGGGACAGCCTTGTCACATCGCGACATTCACGGGCTCAAACTGATTGCCTGCTCAAATTACAGGTTAGGGCAAAAAGATACAAGCTTTTAATTGGTGGCGTCTAAACTTAACCCGCGCCCGGTGGGGAGGTAAAGTTGATTCCAACACGGGTCAAAAACGAATACTCGCAGCAACACCAAATTTTCAGCGTTTGTTCATCTATCAATTTGGTATCGGTTGTGCGAATTTGAAATTTTGATTTGCCAAGGCCAGGTGAAACAAGTCGACTTCTAAAAAATTGGGCCACGCATGACTTTTGGGTGCGTTATTTTTAATTGTTCAAACTTGCAATGGTAGCATAAAGTGATAATATCTACAGCTTATGCATTTCAGTTTTTCAAAACAGGTGAGGTAGTCGCCGAAAGTCATGGAAACTTTTAATATTTTCTCGTAAATAATGCAAATTTAAATGTGCTTTTGTGCAACCACAGAGCACGTGGCATCGGCCCAGGCTAAGAACTCTACAAAGCACATGCTGAGCTCAAATTAGTCGGATTTCCAAGATAGTTTTGGGCGCAGAATTAGAATATGCCGGTGAAAACATGCTGTGATGTCATTATAATGTATGATGAGGTCGTAATAAATAACGTGAGGACATGCAAGGTCACATGAGGCTATCCAAGGTAGATGATCTCCGTTGTCAGAAGTTGAAAAGCTAGATGAACGAATGCGACGCGTTAACCCTCTCTATGTCGTGTTTGTGAAGCTGGTAGGATATAATTTCATACACCAACGTGACTGTTCTCAGTTTGTTACAAATACATTGTCAAGCGTAGAGAGGTCTATGCATAATGTATCCCAGAGCTATGCGATCTTGAGTATCTGTACATGTACAACACACTAATTCTGGTGACAATAAGGTATTGTCGTGGTCACTTAGCCCCGTTAGAACTTCATTTTTCCCTTCCGTTTTGAAAATGGAATTAACTATTTTCGTTTTATTGAAGAAACATTTTGACTTAAAAACTATGCTCTGGTTTTACTGACCATGTCATTCATTTCAGAACATCCGTTGGATTGCCTTTTTATGTAGCCTAGGTTTTTTTGGCTGCCTGTTTCCAAGATGATTCAAGATTAACATCGCATAGCCGTTTGACGTGCTTCAGCATGTCGGGTGAAAACTAGGCTTTCATATAACGTCGGTGTCTCACGTGACCTTCGCAAAACTACTGCTATTCAACTGTCTGGTTTAGAGTTTTAAGCATTCAGTGAAGTGCCGGAGCTCACGGACGTTTTCCGTCGGCAGCAAATGCATGTGATGGTGCGTGACCCATGATCACACGCATTGCCACGGCTGCGCCATACGATCGTGGGGGCGCTTCCGCCTCCCGCCAACTGGCATCTGCCGGTTTAAACAATCGGCCGCCTCTGGGACTGATCCTCGGTACGCACCACATGCTGGAGTTGGTAGTGTGAACCAATCGCACACGACTGCGGGAAATGACACAGACATAAATATATGGGCAAGATATACCAAAATGATCGACTTTTAGATCGCAAGCTTCCAACGAGTGAGAGCCACACGGTCGACGCCTGAAAAGCCAGTGCAATAAATTCCGTCCTATCAGACAAAAACACAAGGAAAAATATCGATCATTACTGAAATCGGTTGGGTAGGGGACTGAGCAGATGACATTGAACTAACCTAGCCTCCAAACCTGATTTCTCCCCGGACGGCAACAGTGATTTGCGTCCCTGTTGTAAAAAGCTTATTTTAGAAATGTCTCATGGATTTCAAAACTATTTTGCTGTTAAAGAACGACTTCACATTATACGACAATGTGAGGCTTCTTTTCGTGAAAAGCTTGGCATGTGGTGTAATGTGGAGAAAACCGTCTTAGCAATTCGAGTCCTTGCGTTCAACGGAGATAATTACCATTTATTGTTGATCTCAGATGGTCCGAGGCGCAAGGAACGGTTTGGCGTGGAATGGCGTGACCTGACACGTACGGCCGAGAGCCTATGGAAAATTTTCCGGTTCCCTGCCAGGGCGTGCCTTTATCTAAAGACACAGCTAAAGTTGCACGAACTCTCAACAGACATAGCGATAACTGCTAGGATAGGGTAGGTAAAGGCTGGTGATGGAATGGGTCTAGAGGGTGGCCGTCTTAACAAAGCGCGGTCAGCCATTTGACATGTGCTGGAAGTCGATATGAGAAAGATGGGTCGTGGGTCTTAGTGCTTCGGGGTGATAAGATGGGAGCTCTCCTAACGAAAATAATCGACCCCCATTACGGCAGCAGGTAGAAGTTCCGTGACACTACCAAAAATATTGCTTATTTCGCGCAAGCTCTAGTTTCACAGCAGTACTCATGGTCAGCTTTTCCGCAATATTCCATCAACTACATCCCCGATGTTTCCACTCCGGAACACACCGCACAAAATGTGTTGATTGCATTCTTAACATCCTTTTTGTGATACAACCAGGTAGCAGATGTACCGCCAAAGTGTATTTAGATCGTCCCGTCCCGCCACGCATTCTATTCTGTCCCGATAGCTCAGCTGGTTAGGAGGCTCTCCTTCCGATTCACGGACCTGTGGGTGGATGGGCTCGGCTCACTGCAGGGTTCGCTATTTGTCTCGACTGGGATAGCCCGTGGCCGGTGGCAGGGCGCACTAACGGTCAGGTAACGCCAGAGGGCAGAATGGAAGGTGCCTAGTATTACGGCACCTTTAAGGGAGTGTTTTGCATTTACATGGAATTTTGAACTAAAAAAGCCATCATGAAGATCTTCCGGTGTTGTTCACAATTAAGTCCTTCCTAAGAACTAAGCCCCTCTAGTTTCTGAGCTCGCGAAAATGGGGAAAGCTACTTCGGGAAGGGTGTTTCAGTCACCTGGGCATTCATGACGTCAAAGTAACGTCACTCAAATCCTGTCATTCCTTAAGCCAAGCGATGGTCAAGGCCAAAAAAATGCACTTGTGAAGACGTTCATATCTGGCGTTCGTGAGCGCGATTCCAAATAAAGCGGCCGTCAACTGGCTGTCAATCAATGTTGTGCAAGATGAGATGACCTACTTCAACCATGACGCACTGAGGAGCTATTTACTAGACGGATAATTGTACTGTCTGGAGCAGTCTTTCCCACTTGAAAGTCTGCCAATAGTTATAAGTGAGCTCGTTTCATCGTATCTGATACTTGCCTCAATATCGTCAAATGTGGAACATTCTCTTCAAGTTTCCATCGCAAAATATCTTCAGCTAACCCGGAATTTTACGACCGGGTAAAAACTCATCAAACAAGCATCGTTTAGAGTGGGTGCTCATCCCAAAAATACTCAAATCAAAAGGTCTGGACTAAATCTAACAACACTCACGACCGCCTAAGCGACACTGCATTACGATGGTGCACACCGCACTGCTAGTAAAAGAGCAGCTCTTGAATACGAAAGTGAAAAGGGTTTGGGGGTATTTGCATGTATCTTCTGATCCCCAGTCGTGTAAGCGTAGGCGCGCCAACGTATCCTTTCTTTTCCGTGAGTACGGACGCAAGGAGAACCGAGTGAGCTCTCCCGATTGCGCCGCAAGTTCTCGGCTTAAAAATACATTAGACTCACAAAGAGGTCGGAAAAGTAGAATAAAGATTCTGTGTCTAAGCGGAACTATCGTTTATACAAGGCTACCCAGAAAATAGCCCACGCTTTACTCAAGAGTGGCGACTGTGTTGTTGCACAGTGAGGCTGCAACGGCTTTCGAACAGCCTTTTTTAAGATTTCGTTCGAACCGTTTGAATGGATGCATTTCTGGGACCAGAGTTTACGTCAAGCATTGCTTGTTGTATGAATCCTGACCCCTACGATCCGGTCGCGCAATTCCAGGGTAACGGCAGAATTTGGTAACAAAAGTTTATTGGGCCAAGTTTTCGGCACGGTCCGTCCTGATTTCTGGCGTCAAATGACCTTGAGCGCGGCCGCTACCACAGGCCGCAGGCCATGCCTGTCAGGGCCAATAACGAGCGCCTGAAGCGACTCGAACCCACCCCGTCCCGAGTGGGTGAATCGAGAGGCAGGCGTTCTAACTAGCTGAGCCACCGGGACGGATTAGCTCAAACAAAAACATGGTATTAAATGGCAACACATCATAAAAGCAATGACAGTCATCAGTGAACTCACCTTCGTCAAATCACGACTCGGCAGGAGATCCCTCTTTGAGGACCAGAACGAGTGTCTTATAAATTTCACCCCAAAACTGTTACATCGCTAACGCTCTGATGCTCTTCTGGACGGCTCTGGGACGACTTCACAGGATCGACCGGTACGAAGAATGGCTCCAGCGGAAGGTAGGAGACGGGGTGCTCAAGTCAACATCGGGGTGGGCTCGAGTCAGCATGGGCGAGCGGGAGAGGGGCTCTGGCCCCCAGAAAGTATAAAGAGTAACATGTCTGCTCAGTGCTCACTTTAAATCTTTCCATTCTAATAATATTTAATTGTCCTTAATATCAATGCTAGATGCTTTTGACGTGACAAATGTCAGCGGAAAGGTGCCTTTTGCCTAAGCACTTCCGGTTTCTCTTCTAATTTTCACGCTTCACCTTCAGTTGAATTTATTTCACTTTTCACTCGGTCTTTCTTTTCGTGATTCGCATTCAGAATCAGCAAAATAGTGCAGGCCTTATGCAGCCGTAATCACTGTCATTTCCAAGAAAGTGCCTTTGCTTCCGGTCACAA